GCCCCCCCCCCCCCCCCCCCGTCATCTTACAGTCACATCTGTGAAACACAGAGATTATAAGGCCATTTCCATTTCCAGCGCTCACTCTGGGTGAGCCTAACCTTGCAAACCACTTGGCTATAAAATAATATTTAGATGGGGCAGGGAATGGGGAATCCAAGCATGAAGCACTCAACACGCCAACCTTATTTGTCTGTGGAAAAAGATTTTTTTTTTAAAAAAAAAGTAGAACGTTTCAAACTGATGAATTTTGACAGTGAATCTGTAAAGTCAGAAATGAAAGGAAGAACATCTCTCTAATCTGAGTCCATTTTAGAGCGGTTTCCCAAATGGACAGAAGATGAATGAACACGGACCCGAGCCGTGCCTTCTCAAAGAATTTAAGGGGCAACATCGCCAAGCACAAAGGAGCTGTCTTTTCTTCTTGTTCAAGGCTCTCAGCCAAAACATCACAGGAGGAAATCCCCAGACTCAGGAAAGTCGAGTCTGTTCCTGCACAGCTGCCCCACTGATAACATACGTGGTTCTGATGGGAACCGAGACGCCGCTCCCCAGCTTAAAACCTCTTCCTCCATAACGGCAAGCGCTGGCTCTGGGCTCCTGCTATTCCTGCTCATTCATGGCCAGAACTTCAAGCAGTCACTGAGAAAGGAGAACCTGAGGTCTCTCTACACTTGCAAGAGTCGGAGCTATGGCCTATGGACCTGCAACCTTTCCCTTCCTCAAAGGAATTGCTCGTAGGCTGGAGTTCCAGAAGCGTTCTGTTACCTGAGATAACAGCACACAACTCTCAGAAGGGCCCCAGCAAGCTGAACACTGATGAACTCCATCTTAGCAGCATCATGCCTTAAGCCATGGCCAAAACCGCCTTCAAAATGCTCAGTCAGGGACTTCGTCTGTGAAGATCTTGCATTAATGCAAAAAGCATACACCATCGGGAAACGGCTTCGAGAAACTCAGACAGTGAGAAACTGAGCCTCCCAACTTCACCACCCCAAAGCCAGGCTACCTTATCAGAGCTTACAGCTCTCCTGGGAAGGAGCCTGAGAAGCGAGTCTGTGAGAGCTGCAATGTCAGATAGCGTAGGAGGCCCCGCTGGCGCTTCTGGCTTCAAGCCTTGCACTTAGCAAGCAAAGCCGGCCACTGCTTTTGCAAGTTTATTTCTCCAGGTCATAAGAAAACCATTGTCAACAGCGTGCACTTCATAGACACAAGTCCCAAGCCACAGAATATTTCCATTTTCTCCACACAGCCCTCGGCGCTGAGAGATGAGATCTGTCTCTCAGAACGTTTGTGCTTTCATCTGAATAACGGCAGGATTACGCTTAATTATTTCAGGCATTTGTCCTGATCTAGTCCTTGAAGGTCCCTGTTCCTCGTGGGACCAGTTCTTGTCCTTTCTGAGAGTAGCCTGAAATCACTGTTGAACTGGAGTTATTCCGTAAACATGAAATCACCCGGGAAAATTCTTGTTTAGACTGGCGTGATAACCTTGGCTAGAGTCACACGTTTTCCGTTGTCATTGTTTAGACTCTTTGTCGAGTCTCTGCTGAGCTTGCCCCCAGGTACTCTGCTGCACGCGGTTGGTGTGTGAGCTGCTGCACACGGCTAGTGTGTGAGCTAGAGGTGGGTTTGCTCACCAGGGCTGTTTCCTTAAAATATTGTGGCAAGACTCGCAATGTCAGACATTGTGTTAGGATTATGTGTGCGAATCGAAAAGAAAAATTTCCAGTGGATGGTAAAAATATAGGTGATTTTTTTCCTCCTGTATTTTCTAAAGCTTCTGAAACATATAGATATCGCTCTTATAGCAGGATAGATGGAAAGAGGTGTGTGTGTGTGTGTGTGTGTGTGTGTGTGTGTGTGTGTGTGTTGTATGACAGTGCTTAGCCAACGCAGAAATTGTTCTCTGGAGAGTATAGGCCACCCAAATCTAGACTGTTCACTGAATTTTCTAGAAGAGGTTCTCAGCCTGTCTTCTTGTAATGGAAGAAACGATTAACTTTCTGCTTCCCTTCAGCCGTGGAGACCGCTTAGGAAACACAGGACTTAGGAAACACAGGACTTAGGAAACACAGGACTTAGGAAACACAGGACTTAGAAAACACAGGACTAGCCGGCTTCTTTCCCAGTTGGTTGACGACCTCGGAGGGTTTCTCAGTGCCTCTGTGCAGACAGGAAGAGACTGCACGATCTGATCTTCTGACTTAGTTCTTTCTAATACAAAGGACAAAGTTTGTTTATATAAGCTGACTAATTCTGATATTATTATTCTGGTTGTTTAAAGATAAGATGATTTTGAGACAAAATATCAACAAGTAAGAGCACAACATTTAGAATATTTTAACAGATCCAAGTTGAGACTGCTGTCAAGGGAAAGAACAGGAAAGGGAAAGGGGAAAAAAAGAGAAGGAACCAGGGGAAATCTGACATCTTGGTTGTGGAGTACTGAGTCCTGGAATCAGCTTCCCCGAGCCTGGACTCGGTTCTGCCGTTTACTTAGTAGAGACAGTAAACAGAAGCGGAGAGCTGTCCAGGACTTGAGTGAGCCAGCATGCTTCTCAGATGGAACTCGTGAGAACGGAGAGGTCAGAAGCCTCAAGTGTGGTGGTGAATTCTCCTGAGGACCTGTGGCGTGACCCCTAGGATCCTCCTCCCGCAATATGGTCCCTGCAGTGTCTTCCTGCTTCTCTCTGTGGTCTCCAGGGAGGGGAACTGGCAAGCCAAGCAGGAGGCTCTGGGAGCCCAGCATGGCTACCAAGCAGGTTGAAGGGATTCTAACACCCAAGCACCTCAGAACTCTCATCTGCATTGAACCTGATAGGGCGAGGCTGAGGCAGATGAGGGGAGGGTTTTGAACAGTGACCAGTCTGCTGCAACTCAGAAAGATGCTGTGTGACTCTTGTGTCTGTTATAAACTTGACAAGATCTGGAAAGTCCAGGATCCACCATGCTTCTTGCATTGATTGGTTTGTCAGTTGGTCTTTTTCCATCTACACTCCAGATATTCCCATAGGATTTGCTCCAGGGGAAGTGGGGAAGAGGATCCACATTTACTACGCTTCCCTTGGGCTGTGTGTTAGGACTCAGGCATGATGCTGTCCCCTGTCACCTGGCAGGATGCACTCAGTCCAGGGTCCCGGGGCTGCTATGTCACTATAGTGGGTATGCAGGTGCAAAAGCTCCCTTTAAGAGACAAGCTCCGCCCATTCCTGCTCTCTTCCACACTTCTTCTGAAGAGGCAAGCAGGCTTCTGTCTCTCTCTCCCTTCATTTTCTCTTTCCTCCCCCATTCCCCTTATCTCAGTAAAACGCCTCACTTAAACTCTGCCCGCATGGCATATTTGTCTCTTGCCCACCATGAGGCCTCTGGCTCTCACCCACTAGGGTCCTTGTCCTGCAGAATCATATCACAGTGTCTCAAGGGATCCACACAGCCTCCTAGAATACTACCATACCGTCCCAAAAGGACACCAAGGACGCCTGCTTGAGGAAACCTGCCCCAGGCCTCAGTAAGCCATATCTGAAACCCACCATCTACCTACCACCAGAGGCCACTTGCCCAGTAGTCTGCCCGAACCAGAGAAGTGCCAAGAGCCAAAAGGTCCTCTAAAAGGCAGCCAAAGTACACTTCATAGATCTGATGCACTAAAGAGGGAATGTTTTATTCATGGGCCGACTCCCAGGGCCCTGCCCGGACCATTACTGTTTTCTCTCCTGAAGCAGAGAAGAAGCAAGGGCTATGAGGTCTAAGTACCTCATTGCCTCCCAGCGGGGCTTCCAATAGCAACTGTCTGGTTCCGACTGGTCTGTAGGACAACTCAGAACTGTCTGATCTAGGTCCCTTCCTAGCTCTCCCTGACACCTCATCCACCTTGTCAGTAGGATTGAGGACCTGATATACAGAATTTTAGCTCCAACATTAAGAGTAAAAGAAAAACAAGTTTATCTTGAATCCCAACACTAGAAATGAAGAAAATGGATTGGGCCCAGTTCAGTTTGCATTAGGGTGGAAAGCCTCCTTTTAAGTAGAGTCTGCTTGGTAATTTACTGGGAAGAAGTTCCTTTTAAAAGCCCACAAATACCATCAAAGTAACAGTCTGTTTTTATTTTTTATTTCTCGGGAAACCTGTGGCCATTTATTTCTGATAAGATCCGTGTCACACAATAAATATGACTGGAGGCCAGGTGAGCACTCTGATGTTGACCTCATCTTTCTGACCAGCAGATGAAACAGCCCGGGGGGCTATTCGGGGAGAAGGTCAACATCTACCCTTCTGCTGAGTCCTTCACAGGCTTTTCAAAAGGCTGTAAAGAAATGTACTCACTCCCGAGAATATCCACGAGGGTGTCAGCCAAGGTGGGTGTGGGCTCTTTATGGAACTATTATCCTCATGACAGTGAGACAGGTGGGAAGAGCCGGCAGTCACTGAGAGAGAGTAATGACAGGCCCAGTCCAGAACACTAAGGCTTTCCTCAGAGGGCAGGACTTGAGAATTTCCATCTGGGAAATTTAAGTTTTATTTTGTAAGATAAAACTTTTTAGATGTCAACAGGGAACAACAAAAATTATTTCTGCAACATCCTCCAATGACTATACATAGGGTAATTTTAGTATTTGTTTTTTTATCTATTTTTCTGTGTGTGTGTGTCTGGGTGTGGACATGTGGAGACCAGAAGAGGACACTGGGTGTTCTTCTCTCTTGTTCTCGGCTTAGTCCTCTGAGGCAGGCTCCCTCCCTGAACCTGGAGCTCATGTTTGTTTGTTTGTCTGTCTGTTTTTCAGTTAAACTGGAAGTTTGCAAGCCCTGGAGACTCCTCTGTCCCAGCTTTCCTCAGAGCTGGGGTTACAGGTGTGCCCCTATGGTTTGTTACACAGATGCTAGGCTCATAACTCCCAGCTTCGTGACTGCTTAGCAAGGGCTCCTTTCCTTTTAGTTTTTATTTTATATGTATGTAAGTGTACTATGTGCACCGTGTACACGCGGGTGCCCAAGGATGCCAGAAGGTGGCACTGGATTCTCTGGAGCTGGAGTTGCTATAAGTAGTTGTGAACTCTTCAGTGTGGGTTCTGGGAATTGAACTTGGGTCTGCAAGAGCAGCCAAGTGTTCTTAACCACTGAGCCATTTCTTCGGTCACCATAACCAGGCCTCTTAACCACTCAGGTATCTCTGCAATCCAGGTAAGAAAGATATTTTTTCAAAGCTAAGTGTTCAAATAGAACGAAATTCAGTCTGGATAACTTAGCTGACAGAAAAACGCCTTTTGCCTTAGAACTGGCCTTAGACATTTCCCAGTGGAGTCATTAGCGTCTAAAGGCACAACACTCAGTGCTTAGCCATCAACACTTACAAATGCTGTATGCTTGTCGTTTTCTGCTATTAAATTCCAGATTGTGAGATTACTTTCTCAGTAAAGTTTGAGTAGTTTATAGCTCAGGCTGGCCAGGCTCTGGTGTGCCTTACTCCCCCGTCCTGCCTCTGCCCCGGTAGATTTCCTTGTTATTAAGACAATTTGCTATTATGGCATTTAGGAAGAAGGAAATTCTCCATAACATCTAATTTTAGGAACGGAGGTACAGACACTCCAAAGTATTGTCTTTGCAGTTCCCAAGTCATTTCCTGTGGTGGCCCCTCCCGAGGCCTAATAGCCATTATGTAACCTCGGAATGAGCGCTGGGGTTTTCCTTATCCTTCCACGCCGTTATAAACACAAATGCTAGTTCTCCTAAACAACAATGCCGGTAGAAGGGCAGACGCGGCAGGCAGTGGTGGTGGGGTGGGGGAGAGGCGGGGAGGGGGCACGGGACAAAACCAAACCAAAAACACAGAGGGAAATCAGAAGACTAGGAGGTATTGCTTTGTTCTAAAACCTTTGGAAGCCGAGGGAGGCAGTCCTGTTCGCTAGTATAATTATGCAATTCTATCCACAAGGACCTAGCACAGTTGAATCCATCCCTCCGCTGATACAGCTTTTGCTTCTAAGGCATGTGCTTGAAATGGGGAGGGAGGTAAAGAAACAGAATCTCAGGTCTGACCAGGAGAACCAAAGGCCCATGACCTCTTCACCTTGGCCATTTGTCCTATCCAGATACATAGGAAGCAAACCAATAGGCTTATCCCTCTGACTCAACTGTTGCCCCAAACCTCTGTGACATGTCTGATTTACAGAATGCTATGGGAAAAGGTATATTCTTCTGTTCTGCTGCTCTGGGACCATTGGTGAGGCAGGACGTAGTGATGGGCGCGACATGGCTGGGGTCTCTTCAAAAGAGAGACAGAGGGACATGTTCCAAGTCTTCATTGTCATTTAACTAAAAATATTTAAAACCGCATGTGAATCTCATGGCTGGGCATGGCCTCAGGCTTGTTACAGAGGTGTGCAGAGAAATCATATTTGGGGGTGCTGGGGAGGTAGCTCTTCTGGTAAACCTGAAGGAGATCCTGCCTTTGAGTACAACGTGGGAGAGGGGGGAAGAGGGAGAGAGGGAGAGAGAGAGATTGGGAATGGGACTTTGGCATTTTGAACGAGCTCACTTGGTCTCACACAAACAGGAAGGGTCAGAGGTCAAGCCAGCTGTCCGCCGCCATACCTGAGATGGCACCCGGTCCCTGTTCCGCTCTGCTAATTGGAGGATGGAGGAGAAAGTTTACTCAGGCCACAAAGTGCTGTCAAATGCACTTCTGTCGGAACTTGGAAGCCAGCGATGTTCAAAGGCCTGGGACTTCCAGCGAGCCTGCAAAGCAAGTCACATGCCTGTTTGTACCTGCTCGGTAATAAACGTCTTTATGTAGCAGAACGCCGTACAGACGTCACTTCACTGTGGTTATGGCTGACACCTATTTTAACGAGCTAAGACCCAATAGCTCCTTATGAGGCCCAGTCATAAAGGTCTGTTCAGAGCATCTGCCAACCCAGACAGAGTCAGGTTTCATTAAGAGCGTGATGCTTCCTCGGGTGCAGGACCGTTGCACCCTTGTCCCAGTGGTTCTGCCAACGCTGACGGTTGGGGTTTCTCGGCCACTACCCTGTTAGAAAGGAGCTGGCCTTTTTTAAGCACACCTGGAATGTCAGAGCCACACCTCACTGGAATCATGTGTCAATCACCCCAGCAAAGGAGGTGAGCAAATCTCGTCTTCAGTTGGCTCCCCTGGCTTTGCCTTAGGGAATCCACTTACACCCTCGTTCCTACTCAGCAGAAGCACCTGCGGTGAGCCAGCCCTGTCAGTCTTGTAAGGATGCAGCTGTGAGTCCCTAGTAAATCCCGAAACCACTGACTCGTGAGAGAGAAACCTGTGCAGACAGCAGCCTGTAACACGGGAACGCGACAAACAGGGCAGATGCCGTGCCTGCTGGGAGGGAAGAGCAGGTTTCACAGAGGAGGCCTAGAGCCTGGAGAACCGCAGCAGTTTCTTGATGGACAGTGAGGAGGCTATTCCAGGAGCAGGGAGCGATCTGGAAGGCGAATGAAGCCAGCAGTCTGTTCCCAAGCCTCCGAAACGATGCCAGGTTCTGGATTTTATGCCATTTCTGTGACGCTCAGGAGAGGAAATTCCAGCAAGTGTGGTAGAAAAACAGGCGAAGATGAGGGCCTGAAGCCCTGTTACCGGGTTTCTAGCTGGCGCTCCGACACCCTGTCACCGGGCCAGTGGGAAACAAAACAGCCCTCCAGCCATACTGTAACCAGCAAGATCGACATTTCACAAGGCACCCTGGGAGCCAGGAAAGCCTTGCTCTTAGCAGTTTTGAATGGCATCCCAAGGAATCTGGACTTTGTTCTGTAGCCAGTGGGAAGCCATTGAGGATTTTTGAGGTTTGAAGAGGCAAAACTCATGAATACCAGGGCTAAGAACACAATGAATACTATACATACTTTTCTTTCTTGCATTCTCTAGTCTAGGAATACTCTCAACCATTCACAAAAACCTCTGGGAGGCAAATGATACTTTTTAAAATTTGTTGTTACATTTACTTAGTGTGTGTGTGTGTGTGCGTGTGTGTACGTATGTGTGTGTGTGTGTGCGCGTGTGTGTATGTATGTGTGTGTGTGTGTGTGTGTGTGTGTGTGTGTGTATGACTCGCAGAGTTTGTTTTTCTCCTCCACCATGGGCCTCAGGAATCAAACCAACAGGCCACAGACTTGGCAGCGAGCTTCTTAACTGGCTGGACCGTCTCGCCAGCCATGAGCAGATCAGTCTGCACTACTGATGGTCTCTCGTAAGAGCCCCACCAGGGCAGACCCACAGCCCAACTCCCTGAACACATCCTGGGACTCCTGTGCCACTGTGCTCCTGTGGGGGTCACAGTGCAGTGAGTGGACGAGTTAGAGTGAGAAAAATGGAAACAAAAGCGTGAGCGCAACGTCTAAAAGAAGAAAAACGTGAGTGCTTTAGACATTCTTAATTTGTCCATCTATGACCAAAACCACTTTGTTGTGTTTTTTTTTTTTCTAATAAGATTGAGCTGTAAGACAGAGGCAGCTCACCCCAGTCAGTGTGACTGTGAGCCCCTTGCAAGTTCTGATGCATTTCCCTTTGTCTCAATGTTAAGTAAGACTGTATTCATCTAAAAGCTGCTAGAAGTTGTAGGTTCCCAGTGATGAACAGTCTCTGGCTTTCCTGGGCACAGACCAAGTTTCCATCCCTGTGAAAACGTTAGAGTAGCAACCCCAGTGCAGGATACTTCCCTGGAGGATGCGTGTCCACCCCTGGTACAATGCCTGCCCACCCCTGGTACAATGACTGCCCCCCTAGTACAATGACTGCCCACCCCTGGTACAATGCTTGCTCACCCCTGGTACAATGCCAGCTCACCCCTGGTACGATGCCTGCCCACCCCTGGCACAATGCCTGCCCACCCCTGGTACAATCCTTGCTGGTGTTGGGACAGAGGCAAGGCTCCCAGATCCAAGTCTGGCAAGCAGGGTGTGGGAGGTTGAAGAGGACAAGGGAGCATAAAAAGACACAAATGTTGTAGGAGAAGGGCCTGCTTGTTTGTCCCTTCTGCCCGGCTAGCTTACACCCGAAATAACCACAGAGAATGAGTCTTCAAATACAGAATGCAGACAACAATTTGGGTTTCTCTAATCTACACACTCTCTTTACAGACAAGGAGGTGAGGCCAGGAAAGATTGGCTGGCTTTCCAATCGGTCAGTTTCCTGACCGCAAGCCCTATGCTTTTTGTTGTTGTTGTTTTGTTTTTCGAGACAGGGTTTCTCTGTGGCTTTGGAGCCTGTCCTGGAACTAGCTCTGTAGACCAGGCTGGTCTCGAACTCACAGAGATCCGCCTGCCTCTGCCTCCCGAGTGCTGGGATTAAAGGCATGCGCCACCACCGCCCAGCTGCCCTATGCTTTTTCTGCAGCTCTGTTCTGTGTCACTAAACCCGGGCTCTCCTAACTTCTGTGACTCTGTTTGATGCAATCACACCCATCTCAAAGTCTCAAACTAGGTGGAAGGTGATGGCCGACACTCAAAGTTGTCCTTCGTCCCCAACACCTGGGGGGTGGCATACCTTGGACTATGGAGAATCAGCTCCCAGACCAAGTCCTAACTAAATCTTTTCTATCTAAGGGGTTTAGGGAAAGACAAGCACGCACACACTTTCCTCATGGTTCTCTCTTTATGCTCTTGTGTTGAATTCTCCTTGTTCTTCACGGCTTAAATATCCCCCAAATCCTTGAGGCATTGCATTTGAAGGTCACATATCATTCTTTAAGTAAATGATAAGAAACACAGTCATTCCAACAGCTTATAATGCAATAAATCCAGAAAAATCGCCACATAGCGAGGAAGGGGCACTTTTTCGCAGTCAGCTCCCTAATTAGTGGGCCACAACCCACAGCCGCAAAAAGAGATGTCTTTTTGTTATCATATCTATAGAGTAGCCTTATAAAACTAAACTATTAAGGAGTCTAAGAGAATTAAGGACATCGTGTGCTAGATCCAATACTACTAAGTGTATAAACATCTTAAAAACATTTTGTGGTTAACAGTCATAAAAGCTGGACTTTTTTTGGACTGGATACTGTTTGTTTACAAGGAACAAATGTATTGAGAGGGTGCAACATGAAGCCAGTGCCCCACTGAGAGGCCTCTCTCAGCAGGGAACTGCAGGGCAGGGAGCGTGGGCAGGAGCTCAGATAAATCCCTAGGGCACTCTCCAAGGGACAGTGACAGTAAAAAAAGTGTTTTAAATCCTAAAATATATTTTTCTGCCCTGTAGGTAACCCATGACCATAAAAAGGGAAAGTTTTAACTCTTTCTGAGGGCTTATATTTTGCAACCCTGGCCAGATAGAGAATCTATCCCTGTGGTATCTGAACAAAGGTCATAAAACTGAGGTTAAGAATTTGCACAGAGACTTAATCACCATTCTCGGTCACCAGCCAGACCTGGTCCTCAGTCACCAGCCAGACCTGGAACAGCAATTAAGTTGCTTCATACTTTTTCAACAGATCAGACAGTTTACTATATGTCCTTATAAATAAGATTTTTTTTTCTTCTAGGAATAGTTTATCTTAAAACTCATGAGCAAGGCACCTGGTCTAATCTAAAGCTACTTTGAAGTTTTGCATCAGTTGGTCATACACGGCTATGTTAGAAGCTGGAGAAATACAGTTGTTTTTCTTAAGCTGTGTTCCAAGGCTTAGAACCCCTGGCTTAAGTAGCATCTCTTGCTTTCATTTTATTCATCAAAACTCTGTATAAACTAACATTATTAATATCAATTAGACCTTGCTTAAGTGAGATTCCTCTATCAGAGAGTTTGTTTCTGGTGGGTTGACACCTTGAATATTAAATTGCACCTTCTGATTTTATGCCATGACCCTCAGCAGTGACATGTTCCTGTCTACACCAGACATGTGCACACACACCACATATACACATCATATACATCCATAGACAGATTACAAAATAGTAACAAAGTGCAATCCAAGCGCTTCTTGGACCATTATAAACCTACTTATTGGAAACCTGCAGGATTCTCTTCATCCAAGTTCACAGATAATCCAGAGTGTTTTCCTAAGCCATGTAGGCAAGTCTTCACTGTAGCCAGATTTTTATTTGTGTCGCCAGTTCTCTCTCTCTCTCTCGCACACACACACGACATAAAGACTTACTATTAATTATGAAAGCATGGCCTTAGCTTAGGTTTGTTCCTAAATAGTTTTTATAGCTTCAATTAACTCATATTTTTAAATCCACATCCTTTTACATGACTCAGTATTTTACTCTGTTCTGCCCATCCTGCCTCCTCAGGGTCTGCCTGGCCACTCTGCCTTTCTTCTTCCCAGAGCTCTCTGTCCCCAGAAGTCCCACTCAAGAGTTGAAACTTGAGTTTAAACTCTTCCTGCCTAACTATTGGCCATTCAACTCTTTATTAAACCAATCACAGGGACACATCTTCACACAGTGTAAAGCAACATTCTGTGAGTATTCAGTGGGACTATTTGAAGGTTTGAGCAGGGAGGATAGAAAGCAGAAGGGTATTTTTCTCTAACACGTAAAGTTCTAGTCATGGCTCTTCGGTGAACACAGGCTTCTAAAAATCATGCTGGGTAGCATTATTTAGCTTCAAGAATCCCTTGTGATGAAAGGAATGCCTGAGTACAGCTAGCCATCTTCTTGGGTCATTCTCCTGGTATGGCCACACCAGCCTCGCCCTCTCTGATCTCACATAGAGGATCTCACGTAGAGAGCGCCAGTCCTTCAACGGGCTCTATT